AACATGACCAAAATATGTCAGAAGAAGCCTCAGAATCCTTGCCTCCAAGGAGCAGCCCGGTTTAACCCTCTCTGGGATGAATCCGTTTGTTTTCTTAGCAGTCTACGGTACCCTCAACACTCTTCTCCAACACCAAAACTCAAAGGCATCAATTCTCCTTCTATCCTCCCTAGTCATTGTCCAACTCTGATACATAACAAGTGATTGCAAAGACCATGGTCTGTATCAGATGCACCTTAGTCTCCAGAGAGACACTGTTGCTTTTCAGTACGTTAGAAAAGTCCCTAACAGCAAACTTACCCATTGCAATATGTCTTTAATTTCCTGGCTACTGGTGCCAAGAGTGTTGATTGTGGAGCCAAGCAGACTAAAGCTGTGAACAATCTCAATCTCTTCACCATCTATCCTGATGCTGCCAACTGGTCCAGTGATGAGAATCTTTGTCATCTTGACATTGAGCCTCAATCTCTATTTAAGGCTGCTTTAATACCGTAATAATTTTATTATCTTGTATATTGTTAGGTGTTAACAAGTTGATGCCCATGTTACAATAATTTTATACTGTATTCAACAAAATATTACATGGTCCAGTAATCAGTTGAAGATCAAATAGTTGTGATCCATAGACTTTATAAGATATTTTCAGAAATAGACTAGGCATTTCTTTATAGTCTGAATCTTAGTCTGGAAGCACTATTAAAACCTAGTCTACATTATCTATATCTATTTATCTATCTATCTATCTATCCATACATATCAACACAGAAATTTCCACTCATAGGAGTTCTGGCTATCTTACTGACTACAATGCACTGGCTGGAAGAGTCAAGCCAACTCTTGTGCATGGAATGTGAGCTTCTGTCCTTACATCACCATGCATCTTTTATCTTCTGTTTCATTGTTGTCTAGTAGGAACCAACTCACCTGCATATTTGACCCTCCAGCACTTTAATGGGCTAAACATTAAAAAAAGTAGATCTCCTATCTTTCTCTCATAGAGCCATGTGAACCCCAGAAAGTCATGGCTTTTGGTTTAGTAGCACAACTCTTTCATTAGAGATACCTATACTATGTATACTCATCCATTATAGTGAAGCCATCCTAAAAAATAAAATCAAAATGCACCCATATTTTAAAAGTATAAGTGTACAAACTTTTCCATGAAAAAGGAACACTTAAGTCAACAAATGTTATTATAACTGAGATCTATATTCTTAAGTATTGATGCATATTTAAAAGCATTAAGGTGTACAAATGGGTTGAAAAATTTTGTTATATTCACACAATGGCATATTAAGCAGCACTAAAGAACAACAATTTCATAAAATACTATATAAGATAGGAGACTCTAGAGAGCATTATGCTGAGGAAATTAACTCAGTCTGATAAGGATAAATATTGCATACATCTATTATTGTAAAAATAGAGGGGAAATTGTTAGATGTGTATAAATGTTCAAAAGAGAAGGACAATGGGGAAGTGGTCAGAAAAAAGAAGGATAGAAATTACTAGGTTAGCAGAGTTTATCAAGTGGATAAAAGTTGAAGGAATAATAAAGATTCAATGGGGACTAGAAATGATGAGATAATAATAGGTATAGATCAATAGCAATTGTATAAATTACAATGTATATGAATGATTGTGTCAAACACAATAGTTATGGATTAAAATACTATGTTCACAATAAAAATAGAAAAGACATTAAATTTATAATGCACTAATATTATAAAGTAGTTTTGTAAGTAAATGCATATATATTTTAGAATATAAATACAAATCAAGTTAATTATATTTCAAGATCAATGTTTCGTAATTCTTGTGTCCTAATTTCTGAATTGGTCACTTTTTACCAAACATGCTTGGAAGCTTTTCATAGTATATTCCTTTTTTCACTCTGAGATTTCTATGGTATCTACAAGGTTGTAGTCTTTGAAGACTGTTTTGCACTACAATGATTTTGGTTCAATGGTGCTGTTAGCCTAAAAGTGGTACATCTCCGGTATTTGGAATCCATAGTGACTCAGTGAGAAAAAGAAGGACACTCTTCTCCCAGTTAACTTATGTTGTTGTTGTTGTTATGTGCCATCGAATCTCTTGTGACTCATAGCGACCCTATGCTAACTTATAGCTTCTGAAAATGTGTCGGAGGATCAGTCATAATTCAATCCTAAATTTACAGCAATGAATTTGACTTAGAAAACAGGAACTCACAAATTGAATGAAAGTATCACTTTCTCAAGCAAAAACAATGTTTAAAAATCATTCTCCATGCTTAGTTTGTTTTTTAAAATTTGTGGTGTGAGTTTTATTCTGTTAATGGCTTAATTTATATTGTGCCATTAATATGGAATATATTGTAGTATATTATGTGATATAATTGCAAACAAAGCTTTAAAAACTGTATCATAAAATATATCCTGGGCTATACTATTTCTCTGTTAAGACATTTATTTCTATATTTGTCTTAAAAACAAATGAAATCAAGTTAAATATTGAATTTATGTTTTTACACAAAGTATCTTTCTTAAAAATAAACCTGTGAAAAATTATTTAATAATTTCAAGGTAGTTTATGAATATTCAACCTTACATATTCATAAAAATAGGGCCAAAGTGGATTTTAAGTGCTTTAAAGGTAAACATATGACACATGTGGTGGGTATATAATATATATATTTCGTAATTTTTTAAAATAATTTGACAATATACAATTAAATGTATAAGACTAAAATTTTCAAACGTATAGCTAAAGCTTGAGGGTATTTTGTAGTTATTTTTATAATATTACTGTTTGTAAAACTTCAAGGATAGAAATAGACTTTAAAAACTTCTGAAGACTATGTATGTGTGTGTAAGTGAATGTTTTAACTTCTTCAAGAGAAATTCAAATACAGCTAGATTTCTTTCCTTTTTTCTCCATGGGGTATAAGTATTTTGCATTTCAAAGGTCTGCAGAGTTGGTAATTTCATTTTTTTTTTATTTAAAGGTACTGTATTATAATGTTAGAAGAATAGGTATGTATTAACTTTTCTGCTTCACATGCATTCTTTATAAAGAAAATACTTGACTTATTTATTCTAACTTGATATTCCAAATTTTTCTAATGAGTAATGAAAATTTTGGTAGCCACAAATAATTAGTAAGTACTAACTTTTCCTCATAAGAGATACACTGAAAGATTCTCTCAAAACATCAAATAGAAAAAACAATTTGTCTCTGAAAAATTTTAAGGTAACAGATTGTTAATGAATATTTGTTAAGCATGAATTCTTCCACCTCAACTCTCCAGTAGCCTAACTTCCCAAATCTAAGAAAAGCCTGTCATCAGACACTAAAAAACTGCATTTCATTTTCCCATCAAGACTTAATAATATTCCAAGCATTTGTTTAATCTGTCTTTTATTGTAATGTTCTCTGCTCCAGAGTAGCAAAATGATACACCAAAATCTTGGATACATTTTTAATTTTAAAAAATATATAAAAATATGTGACTTATAAATTTTAAAACAACAAAAACTAGGGGAAAATTAATAACACTTTTTATCGGCCTCTACCTGAACAACTTAATGCAACCACAGAAATGCAACATTTTGCTAGATTAATAAAGATTTCCACAATTCTTCTGTAAATATACTACACCTTTTATATGTATAATAATTTATACATACAATTAGTATAATACTTTCTTTTTGCCTGAATTTGCATCATAAACATTTATGTTTGTTATTTTTTTTATCTTTTTAATAGTCTCAGGTCAAACACTGTTTCTTTTTGTTGTATTTTTTTTATTTTTATCATCTGGTATATATATCTGCATTTCATTGACTATGCAAAGGCATTTGACTGTTTGGACCATAACAAACTGTGGCTGAATCTGAGAAGAATGGGAATCCCAGAACACTTGATTGTGCTAATATGAAACCTATACTTGGACCAAGAGGCAGTCGTCAGAACAGAGCAAGGAAACACTGCATGGTTCAAAATTAGGAAGGGTGTATGCTAGGGATGTGTCCTATCTCCATACCTTTTCAACCTGTATGCAGAACAGATTATCCAGGAGGCTGGACTCTATGAGTAGAAATGTGGAGTCAAGATTGGTGGAAGATCTATCAACAATCTGTGTTATGCAGATGACACAAACCTGCTTGCTGAAACTGAGGAGGACCAGAAACTCTTGCTGCAAAAGGTCAAGGACTGCAGCCTTCAGTATGGATTGAGGCTCAATGTCAAGAAGACAAAGATTCTTACCACTGGACCAATTGGTAGCATCAAGATTGATGATGAAGAGAGTGAGATTGTTAACAACTTTAGTCTGCTTGGTCCCACGGTCAGCACTCTAGGCACCAGTAGCCAGGAAACTAGAAGATGAATTGCAATGAGAAATTCTGCTGCTAGTGATCTTTCCAAAGTTCTGAAGAGCTATGGTGTCTCACTGGAGACTAAGGTGCATCCGACAAGGCCATGGTCTTTGCAATCACTTGTTATGCATCATAGAGTTGGACAATGACTAGGTAGGATAGAAGAATTGATGCCTTTGAGCTGTGGTGCTGGAGAAGAGTGTTGAGGGTACCATGGATTGCTACGAAAACAAACAGATTCATCCTGCAGAGGGTTAAACCGGGCTGCTCCTTGGAAGCAAGGATTCTGAGGGACCGGTCCTTGGAGAGGGACATGATGCTTGGGCAGGTGGAGGGACAGTGCAGGACAGGAAGGCCCTCTATGAGGTGGATTGATTCAGTGACTGGGGTAATCAGATGGGTGTGTCGGAGACAGTGTGATTGGCACAGGACAGAGTACGGTTTAGGGCGGCTGTTGTACAAAGAGTCATTATGAGTCTCAAGCAACTCGATGGCACATAACAAATACACACACACACACATTTCTGAAGTACCAAGTCCTCAACAGGTTCTCAATAAGCATTTAAAAATAAATTAATAAATCCTTCAAGATGCTTATTAAATATTCATTGCATTTTTATATATTAAAAAATATTAACCTACCATCACATCTTGGAAAAGGATAGTTCCAGTTTCTATTGATTCCATGCTGACAAGTGAGGACAGAATGACCTATTAAAATGTATCCTGGATAGCACTCAAAAGATATTGATTGTCCCACACTGTAATCTGAGTTGATCATATATCCATTTTGAAATGGTGGAGGATCTGGGCAGTTCTGTAATTCATAGGCTGAAAGAAACAAACAGACAAAATCATGTTCATATATAAGGTGAACATAGTCTAAATTTAGAGAAAAAGTCATTCTATCACATTTGTCTTTTTAAAAACATTTAAAAATATTTTTTAAGTTGTCAATTACTATCATTACAGAGGAAAACAGGAATGAATTAATATTAGTAATCTGACTATAATAATTTGCATTTGATGACTCTGCCCTGTATCTTTCACAGGTAAGATAGCACATATCAACAGGAATTTGTCCAGCTGGAAATAAAGGAGGAAGCTTCAATGATTTAGATCCTCCCAGAAGAGCTGTGGGTGAGCATTAACATTACTGGTAAGTATATTCATTTTCTCCTGGACACAACAGCCTACTATTTGGTCCTAAAAGCCTTCTGAGGTCCCAAATCTTCTCACTATTTCTTAATTGTTGGAATTGACAGAAAACCTTTTTAGCAGTTCCTTACTTCACCTCTGCCTTGCATGCGGACTTCCAAGCTATAAAACAACCCAGTGGTAGATGGAATTTGGCACAGGACTTAAGAGTAATAAATGACATAGTTGAGCCTCTACATCTTGTGGTTTCTAACCTTTATACTATAATAGACAAAGTACTAGTCAATAAGCCTTTTATTTTAAGAACTACCTTCCCTCTGTAATTTGATTTGTGCCACTGTTAGAACCTCTACTTGGAATAATATTGCTTTTAATTTTTTACTCATGTACTTTTAACTTGCTAGCTAAATTTGTGTCTTCTAGGCTGCAATAGTTCCATGATACAGCTTCAAGGATATGAACATGTATGGCTAAACACAATTGATAACAGTACATCTAAATTCCAAAATCAATCTCCACAATAGTATACATGTTTCCTATTGCTAAAGGAACCCTTTAGAGTAGTGAGAGAAGATCTTCACCTTGAAACATACAACATCCTTTTTTAGCAGGAAGTAGCTAAGAGAATATTCTGTCTCCTTTTCCTTATGAATCAGGGTGAAGACTCTCTCAGGGAGGAGTGATAGGGGATGGCAAAGGATACACTGAAAAAGAAGATTAATCAGAACTGGCTTTGACAAGCACTGTGGCAATAGGATGATTAAAACAGACTTTCAAGGGGGGTGGAAAGAGGAACAAACTGGGGGGTAGAGAAAATAGTGCAACAATGAATGAATGGAAATCCAAAATCTCTGTAAATGTTCATTAAATATTATAAAATTTAATAAAAAATAAAAAATTTTAAAAACCCAGGAATTTGACAGTTCCTAATTTCTTTGAAAATAAAGTATGAAGTGTGAATTTATTCTATGATTTTTCTCTAAATGAAATTAACAATAATAAACAAAAACACCAATCCTTCCTCCCATGTAATAAAAAATGAATGCTTAAATACATGATGACAATATGTCTAGTAATTACCTTTTAATTTAAAAGACAAGTGTGTGTTGCGGTGTGTGTGTGTGTGTGTGTGTGTGTGTGTGTGTGTGTGTGTGTAGATAGATAGATAGATAGAGTAAAAGAACAATGTACTATCACCATTTCTGAAAGCAGCTTTAGTGGTCTAGTCTTAGGGAAATGAACAGCTAAATCAAAAGTAACATCTCTCTGATGTTTCAGATTCACCAGGATCATGATCAGATCAGGAGGACAAGAGATAGGCAATCTCATCCAGTGTAATTCATAGCCTGAGAATCTCATTGGAAGGTCAGCTATGACTCAGTTCTGCACAGTAAAGAATTAAAGTTCTCTGTTTATAACTAAGGAGTGTGCAATAGTTTTACTGTGGTTTGACTATTTGATGACTTAATACAAATAAAATATGAAAAACATATTCCATTTTCTTTATCTACCCTATTACCTTCCCCTTCCAACTCCTACCTGCTGCACGAGGAGAGAAAAGGAGGGGGGAAAGCCCCAGATTATGAAACTAGTAATTACCATCATACATATTTTCATAAACTATATTTTACTGCATTTACTTTTTTGAGTGCTCTAAATTTTAGGAAAACTCATACTGTTATTTGATCATTCAGGGAGTTAATCATAGAGTACTAAGAGTTAACTAATTCATAAATCAAGTATAATCTCTGGCTTTATAACATCTTTCACCTAAATATATATATATATATATATAATTTCTTTCCTACTCTAGTGGATAGAAGCCCTGGTGAGACAAAAAGTTAAGTGCTTGGCTAGTACCAAAATAATATTGATGTTTCAAACTCACTAACAGCTCAATGGGTGAAAAGTGCTGGTGATCTTTCCTGTAAGAGTTCTATCCTAGGGAAAAAAAACCTATTGAACAGCTTCACTCTGCCCTTTAGGGTCACTATAAATTGGAATCAACTCCACAGCAACTCACATAACAACTTTGGTGGAGGGGACATGCATAATTTAAAATTACAAAAGATCACCACAACAACTTCATTTTTAAGGCACTCTTTTATATATAAAGATGACTAAGAATTCATTTTTAACATAATAACAAGGCAAATTTGTTACCAAACAAGTAAGGATGAAACAGTCTCAGTTTTTTCTGTAATATATTCCTGCTAAAAACAGATAAGTAACCCTCAGAACAACACTAACCACAATCAGTTTTGAAAGAACACAAGTCCACCCATTAGCCTCTTTACAATCAACTGAAAATAGAGCACTGAAATGAAGTTAACTGTTGAAGAGACCTTTTTATGTGGACAATCAGTAAAGAAAGGGAACTACAGTGAAAGGTATTTAACCAGGCGATATCTATGACTAATAAATAATTTTTTATTTTTAAATGAAACATTGAAAAATTAAATATATTATTTATTCCAGGATTATCTCAGAGTTTAGATGTTATATTTATCCATTAATTACCTGAAATTAAAGAAGATAGAAGACAATAAGGGACTTAAAATCAATGGAACAACATGGTGGCATAGGCATAATTGATAGACTTATGATAATGTATAAGATAAAGGATTATTAAATATATCATTAATGCTAAGGTAACAGCATACATAATTTGAGCATAGCCAGAAATTATTTTAGAGGCATATAAAATTCAGTATTTAAAATGCCCTGTATGCCTCTTTTAAGATGGATTTTACTATTAAGTTAATGTAAGATATATATGGAGATATATTACGCAAAAACTATTAGAAGTTGTGGTATGCTGTTGATTTGAACCACTCATAGCTGACCCTCCAGTGGGTTTTCAGAGATAGTTTATCACACAGAAGTTTGCCCATCCTTCTTCCATGGAGCAGCTGGTGGACTAAAACCATGTGCCTTTGGGATTGCTGCACAGCTTCTTAATACTAAGCCACCAGAGAATACATTTTGAAAGAACAATGCAGTTGTTGATTGGAGCCTCTGTTAGTTTCTTAAGGTTACTGGACAAAAAATATAAGAGGAGCTACAGACTAGTTGGATTATAACAGCAGAGATACATTCTCTCCCACAAAGCATCTATATACTGTCTCTAAATAAGAATTGGAGGAAGACTCACCACCAGTCTGCATTATGCAGATGGTACAACCTTTCTTGTGAAAACTGAGGAGGACTTAAAGTATTTGCTGCAGAAGCTCAAGGACTGGTGTCTTCAATATGAATTGAAGCTCAACATCAAGAAAACAAACATTCTTACCACTGAGCCAATTGACAACAACACGTACATGGAAAAGAGATTGAGATTGGTAACAATTTAATCTTGTTTAGATCTACGATCAGCACTCTTGGCACCAGCAGTCATGAAATCAAAAGATGAATTGTATTGGGAAAGTCTGTTGTTAGGGATCACTCCAGAGTCTGAAGAGCAATGAAGCCCGTCTAGAGACTAAAGTGCTCCTGATCTTCAAAATTACTACTATACATCAAAGAGCTGGATAATGGCTAAGCATGACAGAAGAATTTAATCCTTTGAGTTGTGGTGCTGGAGAAGAATACTGAACATAATGTGGACTGCTAAGAGAACAAACAGGTCTGCCCGGGTTGCTACTAGGTTTTTAAGTTCTTTCACACATACTTTGGGTATGTTGCCAGGTGGGACTAGTATCTGGAGGAGATTATACTTGGAAGGATGGAAGATCAGCACAGTAGAGGAAGGCCCTGAATGAGATGAATTGATAAAGTAACTAGGGTAATGAGGGTAAGTGTGGCAGAGACAATAAGATTGGCTCAACGAAATAAGGCAGAGTTTAGAGCTTTTATTCATCTGGTCCCTTTGAGTCAAGATGACAGGATGACACATGAAAATCAGAACAAGAACCTCAGGAGGGTTGAAATCAGGAAGACAAAAATAAACAAATGCTAGTGGGGTCGAGGAGGGGTGAGAAGAGCATTCTGAGATCCCTTGACATTGTCTCTTGAGTAAACATTGGCAATATTGTCTCTAGTGCCACCTCTTCTAAACCCAGCTTTAATTTCTGATAGTTCTCTGTTAATGATTATTCCAGTCATTTCTGCATGATCTTTAGTGTGATTTTGCTAGTGTGTGATATTAGTGATATTGTGTGATAATTTCCAGACTCAATAGGGTCACCTCTTAATAAGAGTAAATATGAGAATCTCTTCCAGTCAGTGCAAGCAGTTGTCCTCCAGATGTCTTGGCACAACTTGGCACAAATGTATACATTATACAGTATAACATTTTATAATTGAAGTTGTAATATGATGGTGTCAACTACAAATCAAAGCAAGCCTATGAACGACAAATCTGAATCTTGCATTATCTTACGTCGTCCTCTTTATCTCTAATATACTCAAGCCCCTTGTTACAGTCACTGTGTCAATATATCTCATCCAGGGTCTTCCTTTCTCTGACCACCCACTTTTCCTAGCACGATGACTTTTTCTAAGATCTGGCCCCTCCTGATAACATGCACAAAATACATGAGACAAAGGTTAACTATCTTCGTTTCAAAGGACCAGCATCATTTTGTTTCTTTTCAAACTGATTGGTTTGTTCTTTTGACAGTCCATGGGATATTCAGTACTCCCCTCCGAAATCACAATTAAAGGGGCTTATT